GGACACGGAGCGGCGACACGGGGACACGGAGCGGCGACATGGGGACACGGAGCGGCGACACGGGGACACGGAGCGGCGACACGGGGACACGGAGCGGCGACACGGGGACACGGAGCGGCGACACGGGGACACAGAGCAGAGACACGGGGACACGGAGCGGCGACACGGGGACACGGAGCGGCGACACGGGGACACGGAGCGGCGACACGGGGACACGGAGCGGCGACACGGGGACACAGAGCAGAGACACGGGGACATGGAGTGGCGACACGGGGACACAGAGCAGAGACACGGGGACATGTAGCGTCTTCTCAGCTAATCAACAGGTCATTTATTGACTGATAATAGTTTGTCTTCTCTGAAGAGAAGAAATGAAGCATCCAGCGATTAGAACTGTTGCTCTTTCTGTTCTCCTCACTTTGAAGCAGAGGCGTAAGTTAACCCTTTGTTGTGTAAATAGTCTCCTAGTCCGTCTATTGATGGAAGATCAGGCTTCTGTCACCTTTGCAGAAAACCGTCTGAGGAGTAAAACCTAAACTATTGAATATTTTCCTCCCAGTCTTCAGTTTTCTTTACTCTACCAGCTTCTCCTTTCAGTCTCGCTGGACAATGACTTCCTGTCTAAACTGTCATGGCAGGAAATGCAGGCAGCAGCTAATCTGCAGTTTAAATCCCTCATTTTGCAGTAAAGTAATCTGCCTAAAACCTTATTTTTTAAACCATAGTTTAATCACAGAATAAAAGTCAAACATTTTGCCTCCTTGTCTTTAAATAAGTTCTTGAAACTAAAAACAAGAACAAACAAATGTTCAGGTATTAGTGTCACGCTTGGAGGAAAGTTTGTGGCTGAAAAATAATAAATTTACAATAAAAAGCTCACAGAAGAGACTGTTTCTCTTAGAACTACAAATGCTTTGGTGGGAAAACAACATAATATGCTGATAATAACTGTAGCTGAATCACATGATGTTAATCAAGCACTTTGTATGATTTTGTATTTATGACGTGATAGATTTAGGATTTAGGAGCTTTTTATTGGAAACAGTTTGACAGCTGATCTTTCTGCGGCTGTGATGTGTTGACCTTAGGAGGGGCTGATCCAGGATCAGAGGTGTGAGTCAAACAGATCATCTGACCTCCAGGTATCAGGTTCCTGCCTGTTTCTCCTGATCAAACAGAGGCGCTCAGCTTCTTCCTGCAGCTGCAGACCTGATGCGTCTCCCCACACCAGAACCCACATGGCCCGGTGACCCGGGTCCAGCTGGAGGTTTCTTCCTGTTAGAGCGACGCATTCCTTCCATTGTTATAAAGGAGTCTGTTTCTTTCCATAGAAAGTAGACCTGGTTCAGGCCTAGTGGTCCCAGCAGAGCTCTGTGCTCTGGGAAGGTTGGAAGTAGCCGGTTCCATCCCCACAGCCTGCACTCTGGGTCCCTGAGCGAGACCCTAAACCCTCACTTCTCCCTAAGGGGAGGGGTTAAATGCAGAGAGGGAATTTCTCCACTGTGGGACAATAAAGGGATTTACATTTATAAATATTTATCTGTTTCTGGTGAGATGTTCATATCAGACAGCAGATCTGAGCACAGTGTGGTTCATAGGTGCAGCTGGAAGCAGACTGCTCTGATCAACCATGTGATCAGAGCAGTCAGCGGATGATCACCGCCTGCTGTGGAGGTAGAGCAGCCAGAGAGGTGAGGAACACCTGGAATCAAACCCTGGTTCAGAGACCTGCCTCCCCCACCTCCGTCTGGAGGAGCTGCTCATCGACACCTGGAAGATAAAGTCCTGGTCCTGATCTTTCCTCGGTGTTCATGTCCGTCCGTCCATTTTCTTCCTCTTTATTCGAGGCCTGGTCATGGAGGCAGCAGTCCAAGCAGAGATCCTCAGACTTCCCTCCTCCAGCTGCTCTCTGGGGCGACACCAGTTCAGCTCAGAGACATTGTCCCTCCAGCGTGTCCTGGTCCTTCCACCAGGCCTCCTCCCAATGGGACATGCCTGGAACACCTCCCCGCGGAGGCGACCAGGAGGCATCAGGAACAGATGCCTGAGCCTCCTCAGCTGGCTCCTTTAGACGTGGAGGAGCAGCGACTTTACTCCGAGCTCCTTTCGGGTAACTGAGCTCCTCACCCCATCTGGAAGGGTGCGCCCAGCCACCCTGAGAAGGAGACATCTAGGGATGTCCCTAGACATCTAGGGATGTCTAGGGAATGAGATGGATTAGTGTTATAGTGAGGCGTGTGACGTTCACATTCAAATGAGCAGGAAAGATGCTCTAAAGATGACTTCAAGCCAGACAGCTGCAAATATAACCCATAGATTAACTCAGTGGTTTCCAAAGTGGCGCAATGCCATTGCAGGGGGGGGGCGCGGGAAGCGGTATGGATGAATGAAGAAAAAAAACAAAAAAAAAACAGCGCTTGCTTGACTGAGCATACTGGACAGCTGTGACACTGTAACCCAGATTTGAGAAGATCTGCAGCAACAAGCAGGCTCACTACAGCCACTGAAAAGATGGGAGGATTAAAGTGCAAAGAAAAAACTCTCAGGGAGCTGTTCAATGTTTTCACTCCATTTTGCACAGAGGCTTTTTTAATGTATAGATTATAGCAAAGTTAAATATTGTTATAAAAAAAAAGAAATATGTTTAAAATAACACAGACAACAAAGAATCCTCTTCTAATCTACAGTATAGAACTATGGAAAAAATACAGTTACACAAAAGTGTTCCACTGTAAAGATGGTGTAGTTTGTTTTGTTGCAACCTGAAGTGTGAAATAAACTTCAGTGGAGTTTGAAAACAAAATATGTGTATAGATTTATTATATCTGGTTGAACGATGTGTGGGCCCAGTTGACTTTTTTTTTGGGGGGGGGGGGGCGTGGAAATTTTATTGTAATCCAAAGGGGGGCCCAGAAGAAAATCTTTGGGAACCACTGGATTAACTGAAGACATTAACCAATGGGGGCTGAGCAGCAAACACCCTGTAGTTACAGACAGGGGCGGATTTAGGAAATTTGGGGCCCCAGGCAAAGACAGGCAGGGGGCCCCCTGAGAAGAAAACCCATAAAACAGACCCATTCTCCAGATAGAGAAATGTTAATAGAATAGACATCCATTATCTGTTCTAGGTTTTGTCCCTCTCTTCTTGTCCCTTTTTCCTCTCTATTTATCAGCGTTCTGATGGCATTTTAGCCAAAGGATTTTTATCAAAAACATAATTAATGCGCACAAATAAGGATTAGTTGTATTAACCATACATGGAAACAGAGTTTTATGGGCCCCCCAGGAACTTGGGGCCCTAGGCAACTGCCTAGTATTGCCTAATGGTAAATCCCCCCCTGGTTACAGAAAACGCTGAACGTATGGTTTGTGCAGCGCAGATAATGCAGCTCATGCACGACTGCTGGCTCGAGTGAGGCTTCACTTTCTCACTTTTCACAAACAAGTTTGGCCTTATGAGACAGTTTTGTTCACATCTCAAGCTTAAACTGTCTGATTTGCAAGTTTGCACTTTGTGTTTAATGTGACCGGAAAAGAACTGAATGAATCAAAATTGAATCGATTCATGACTTTGGTCAAAATACCCGCTCTGCTCATGACCAGAGGTGAAGGTGGGAATATAGATCGGTAAATTGAGAGCTTTGCCCCCTGAATCAGCTTCTTCTTCGCCACGGCGGTCAGATACTGCTGACGCCGCCCCAGCGCCCCATCGATCTCACGCTCCATCCGTCCATTTGATTTCCTGTCTGAATCATCAGGGAAAGTGACCACAGAGCTTCCTGCAGGGTTGGGCTCCTCGTTTTTCATGAACATCATCCTCTGATATGCTTCTGTTGATTCTAGATAACTTGATCCTTTTAAAACAAGGCGGGAACAACAGCAAACAGTCACCTGATACACGTGAGGCTGCTGCTTCATACGTGGAGAATTACTGCAGGAGGCGTTTAGTTCCTCAAAATTAAACAGGCAAATTAATGCACAAACTAAAAGGGCTTCAAATTTTCTTGGTAAAGAATTATTTTCTAAAGCTCCTGATTAATTTATCAATTCAATAATCAAAGATAAAGTTTATGTTTCCTTCCCCCTAAAAATCTTCTCATATCTCAAAGGAAAAATCCGCTCATATTCAGGATTCAAACTCCTGAAAGTTTTTAAATCTGAAATGATTCCATCCTGTTCAATAAATGATCAGTGTTTTTAATTCAGAGTCATTTTCATGTGAATGTGCTTTACTGGAGGCATCCATGTTTGAAATAGAATACAGACACAGAACACAAAGAAACTAACAATAAACTCAAGCAGAGGGCAGAAACTGACAGAAATAAACTTTGCAGATTTGAAAATGCTGCCAACCGGATTTCAACTGGTTCAAACTGGTTTTGATCTAGTTTCGATCGAGAAGGAACAGAGCAGAATTTTATTTTAGGGGAAACTTAGCGTCCTTCAGATGCTGCAGATCATTCTGCAGGCAGAGGAGCGAAGTAACAAAGTAGAAAGTCCTTAATTTACTTCAGCAGAAACGTCGGATATCTGAACTTTACTGCAGTAATTATTCTTTAGACAACTTTTACCTTCTACTCCTTACGTTTTAAAAATAGACTCGTTAGTTTAGTTTCATTTCAGCTCATTTTCATTCTGGCCTGTTGGTATTTAAAAAAATAAAAACCATCAAAATAATTAGTTTCATCCAGACTATTAATTTCTTTGTAGTTGGACTCGGTGCTGCCCCAACTTGTTGCTCACCACATACCAAAATAAATCATTTTTCAAGATGCAAAGTTCTTCTTCTTTTTTTTTTTTTGATGCAAAGATGCAAAGTTAAATGTGACGCTGTTACAATTAGTTACAAAACCAAGAAAATGAAGTTTAAGGAAGTTATAACCCAGAATTGTAGATTTAATAGAGTAGAGCAGGAAAACTCCTGACCTCAAAAACCTGCATTACTTTTACTTTATACTTTAAGTAGTTTTAAAAATGGTACTTTTACACTTTTACTGGAGTAAAAAGCTGAAGTTGATGCCTGCTTTGTGTGTCTGCTGTCACGGTTGCTAGGCAACAGTTGGTGAAAGCTGGACCAGCCGCTGAAATCAAACACCACCGATCTGAGCATCAAGGTGGGAGAGCAGAAGAAAGAGACTCCTGGAGACACCTGCCTAACAGGATGATTGATTGATTGATTGACTTTATTGATCTAACAGAAATGTACTCATTACATCAGCTCTAATAGTCAATGAAAAAGAAGAAGGTGCCAAAGGAAGAAAAATAGAGGAATCAACACAGACTCTGAGCTATTTTAAAAGACCACCCGCTCTGAAATATAGACCTATTATTGAATGGTAAAATAGAAAAAGATATCTAAATGGTTTTAACATTTAAGCTGCAGATTTAAAGGAGATTAATAACTTTTAGAACCAGAGGTAAGATCAACCTGAGGAGGAAACCAAAGACTGTTAGTGGAGCTTCCCTTCCTGCAGTGAGGATCTTTGTTTTCTGTTCTAAGCACCTTCCTAAACGCTTGACCTTTGACCTCCTCCCTCAAATATAGCACTCAATGAAGATCTGTTATGGTTCATTAATTGGATCGTTTTAGTGAGTAAACGCTGTTTAACCTAGATTATTCCTTCATCAATATATTACGTGTTTATTCCATCAGATTAAGGAAGAACTGCAACAGATTTCTGCATCTCCAGGAAGTTTGGTTTAATTTTGTTGCTCCTCCTTGTAGAAGGTCGTCCCATCAGGCTGCTTCCTCCAGCTCAGCTTGACGTCTGCTCTCAGGTCCTGTGCCGCCACTCGCTCCTCCACCTTCTGTTTGAGCTGAAACACAGAAGAAACCATCATCCTGAAGAGGAATCACTCTCTAACCAGATGAAGATCCGAGCTGAAGTCATCAGTGATGCTGATCAACTAATCAGAGGTCGGCAACCCAAACTGTTCAAAGAGACATATTGGACAAAAACAAAAAACGAATCTATCTGCAGCTGAATAAATGTAAAGTCTTCTATTAGCCTCTTATGGCAACACGGGCTCTAAGTGTATTATTATCCCACTATAAACAAGGACTACGTGGGCTTAGATATGAAAGAAATGTTTATCCTGGAGCAAATGTTACATCATGTGACTCTGCTGTATCATATTTGGTGCTTTACATTTAAATTCCATTAAAATATTAATGTTTTTGCTTTGTTGCATTGATGAAATTATAGAAACACGGTAAAGAAATCCGATTTTTTGTGTTATTTTATTTTGAGGATTTAGGTAAAAATGTTACAAAGTTTCCATCCCTGCATCAGAGCGCTACCTGTTGGATCTATGAACGGTTTTCTATCCTTGCAAACAAACTAGCAGCAGGAGTTTGGAGATGCAATCTACTTCTTAAATCTATCTTTGATCTCCTCTAATTTACCCAGAAGTTCTTTTTATCTCCCTCCCATCTGGTGGTGTTCTGCAGATTTAGCCGTCCCTGGAAATGCCTTTCCTAATGACTCTTTATTATTTGACAGCTTCTCATTGCAAAGCAACATGCAGGCATGGGCGGTTCTAGACAGGGGCCAACGGGGGCCAGTGCCCCTGTTGATGATGTCCTGGCCCCTGTTATGGCCCCTTTACTGAAGGCATAATACTTAGAGAAGTTCTAACGATGATATGCGCTGGAGCAGACATGGTTACTACAAGGTCCTTTGGATCTATTTAATTATTTTTTTCTTTACAAATTATGTTTTAGTAATTATTTAAAAAGAAGAAGGTGGTAGCTTTAGCGGTAATGAGATAGGACCCCAGTTTTCATCTGCTAAATGTTTTTTTTTTTTTACAAATTAGGAAAAATACTAATAATTTTTTACAGCTGCATTTATTGGTTTTGCTTGAGTTCTAATTCTGATTTTCTGCAAAAAGGTTATTTTAACTTACATAAAGTCAAAAGTATGTAAATTCTGATTGTATATTGACCTAATAAGACATAGAATTTTAATTAAACCCAATTGAACAGAAATGTCTCTTCTTGCAGCTAACTTCATATATTTGAATCACTTTCCCTGTTTTTTATTTCATGCTTTTCTGTTCCCCCATGAAAACACGCTGGCCACCTCCTGCCCACCTCCTGCCCCCCTCCTGGCCCCCTGGTACATTTTGGTCTAGAACCGCCACTGCATGCAGGCAATCCTTCCTCATTGGTAATGAAAGCAAATAATTTGCTCCGTTCTTCTTTGAATCTTCAGGGGTCCATTTCACAAAGTAGGTTTGACAAACTAAGTTTAAATCTTCAACTCTAAATTAATCTAGCCTAAAGTCTGGAACTCTGACTGTTCGGTTTCACAGCGGCTGCTTTGAATTAGTTCAGTCAATTCTAACTAGATCCACTCAGAGTTAAACGCATGCTTAACAAATATGAAAATTCATTATCAGTGGACACCGATTTGACGAGTCACCATGACAACAGGCAACAGGAAGTGCCTATTTCACTCCACTGGAACTAGAGGTTTTAATGAAGAAAACAAAAACAGAATGTTTTTAAAGACAGAGAAACAGGCTAGAGCTGCAAAGGAGACGAAGATGAAGGAGAAGATTGTTGCTCCAGTTAATGTGTAAGTTCATATGAAGTGACCTATGGCAGGCCGTTTTATCATTTATTAAAATCACTCTCCTCTCTCTGGTTCACTAAAATAAGATTCTCCCTGATCAAAATCACACTCCCACTGAACTGTAATAATAGATTTTCTAAATTACATTTTTGCAGCAGAAACTGAATTTTAGAAAGTAAAAAAAAGATAAATTATAATAAGAATTAAGTTTTATATATCTATAAATGTTTACACATTTAAAGTGGCCGTTCTGACATTTATCAGCTTGACTGAAAATGTATTTATGATATCTGAAAAATATTTTTTAATAGCTAAAATAATAATAACACACATGCTGACCAGCAACAACAGCAATATGTTTATTCTAGATGTGGAGAATGTTATTTTGCTTGAAATGGTCACATTGGGCCGGATCTATCAAAGGTTTGCGTGTATAAAAACGTGAGCTATTTCACTGCGCACGCTAAAAAATGTACAAACTGATCTATCAACAGCGTGCTAAAAGGATTTGGTCTTTAAAACATGCTAAATAGCGCCTCTTATCCATTTAGTACTTTTTCTGCAATGAATATGCAATATGGGGCGTTTACACGCAAAAGTGCGTCTTGTGGGAGGAGAACATGTAAATATATTAATTTAGCACTCGCAAAGTGATTTATTAAACCTGAAAGCAATTTTGCTAACGGTATCTGACTCTATATTTAACACGTTTCAAAAGAAGGTGCAAATGGTCTGTATGCGTAATTGCGCACACATGGCAGCGGTTATTGTCGCAAGAAGGAGAAATGGAAATGAAGCAAGGAGACGCAGAGAACGCAGTTTTTCACTCCGTGTGAATATTTTTGGAATGAACGAGGAAACGATCATCAAAACATATCGTTTATCCAGCATTGCCATTTTGGAGCTGTTGGGGGAACTCCGAATGGATTTGGAGCCAGCCACAAGGAGGACCCACGCAATACCAGATTTCACAAAACTCCTTGCAACGTTGCACTTTTTTGCATCTGGGTCATTCCAGCGTACAGTTGCAGCGAGAGCTGGGACCTCCCAATCTGGTTTTTCAGAAGTGCTGTCCGACGGGGTCGGGGTTCTCCCCCTGCGCCTGTGGAGCATCATGCCAATGCTGCGGGGATGCGTAATCTCATCCACAGTCACTTCTTGTGAGCCATTTGGTATGTGCATTTTTCTACAGGCCAATACAAAACACCTGTTTTTTTTTGTTTTTTGTTTTTTTTGTTTTTTTTACTGCAGTGAAGTAGAAATTCAGCCACATACCACCTTAGGGAATAAAGGTTGCCAAAGTTTTTTCTTTATATCACTGTAAGATTTAAATTTCTTAATGCACTAGTTTGTAGAAACTACAAACTACTTTGCCGCAAAACGCGCAAAACCATCATTTAAATAGGGCGTCTCCAACAGTTTTGCACCTGCCACCAGTTACGCAATCGCTCTTGTTAAATCACCCGCAAACCTTGGTTCAGCCCCTCGCGCAAAATTCCAGTTTGCGAGCGCAAATTACTGCACGCAAAATTGGATCTTGATAAATCCGGCCCTTAGACACAGAAATTAGGAATTCAGCAAAACTAATACATGTCAAACGGCTTGCCATATAGTCTTTTTATGTTGAATTATTACGTTTTTTTTTTTTTTATGGCAGTAGATCAATGTATCTATTAAGATGAATTTTTCTGTCAGAAGGTGAAGAAGAATAAAAACGTTGTTCTAATAAATAGAACCTGTTCATCACCTCATGGGTTCCTCCTGATGTTGATTCAGTCTGTTTTACAGTTAAGAGGCTGTTTGAAGCTGCGCTTCGGATCTTATCGTCCCAATAAATGGTCGTTATTAGCAGGTCCTGTTTAGATGAACAGGTTTACCTCCTCCAGCAGCTTCTCCTGGACTTCCGGCTCGTTCACATTCAGAAGAGAGTTTCCCACCAGCTTCACTTTAATCACATGTTTTGTCGTATCTTTAAAAGAAAGAAAAGAAACATTTAATCAGAGTCAGGATCATCTCTGGATGCAGCAGCACATCCTCATTCTTTCTCACCAGAGTAGCAAATAAATGGCTTCTTATAACCACACCCCCAGTCCTCCCACCGACCGGAGAGGCTGAAATCTGCTGCTGTGCAGTTTTCAATCCCACCGTCAGGTTCTGCTGAAGCCCAGTGGTGAAATAAGTACATGCCCCCGTTGGACCACTTCCAGGTGTCCCTGTAAAGACCGATCCAGGGAACAACACCTGCAGGCTTCTGCAGCCTTATCTGCTCGTTCTCCTGCGGGTGTCGGACGCTGGCCAGGTCTGTGTAGTGCCGTCTGCAGTAGCTCTGAGCGTCAGTCCAGTTCATCAGCGTCTGGATGAAAACAAATGAAACAGTTTGCCCTGAAAACAGAGCAAATAAGAACCGTTTGATCGGATGACCTGATGGAAATATAAGTACCAACTTATGAAAAGAAACACATTTGTTCTTAATCTGAGCAGGTAATGCAGCGGAATAATAATAATATTCGCTTGGAAGAAGATAATGGAGTTGATTTTTTATTTCCAGTTTTTTATCTTATTTTAAATGATCTCATCCCTTTGGTGTATCTGCTTACTTCAGTTTAAGTCCGTTTTTGTTGTGAAAAAGTATTTTACACAGCTGTGATAATAATGTGATACACAGATCCTTCATAATGTATTAGGCCCTCTTTTATTTACTATTTATATAAATGATCTTAATCGGCATGTGTCTGATGCAAATTTTCATTTTTATGCAGATGATACAGTTATTTACTGCTGTGCACCTTCTCTTAAACAAGCCATTGCACACTTACAGAATGCTTTTAATGTGGTCCAAAATACTTTGCTACAGTTGAAACTTGTGCTCAATGCAGAAAAAACTAAATGTATGCTTTTCACAGACCTTCGGAACAGGCTACTGAATGTTCCTTCAGTGGTTACTCTTGATGGTCGTGAAATACAGATAGTTTCAACTTATAAGTATCTTGGTATTGTCATTGATGACCACCTATCATTTAAGCCTCATGTTCACTGTCTAGTGAGAAAGTTGAGACTAAAATTGGGTTTTTACTTTCGAAATAAGCTGTGCTTTTCTTTTAATGTAAAAAAAACGGTTGGTGGCATCCACTTTTTTAACTGTGCTATGGTGATATATATGCATTCATCTGCTCAATGCCTGCAGATGATTGACGCAGCCTATCACGCTTCATTGAGATTTATTACTAATTGTAAAGCTCGCACCCATCACTGTGAGCTGTATTCTGGTGTAGGGTGGTCTGCCTTGGCTACACGGAGGCTTTGTCATTGGTATATATTTATATATAAGGCTATTCTTGGTGCGCTTCCATCTTATTTATGTTCACTTCTTATGAAAAAAAGTACTGGTCATTACTCTCTCCGTTCTCAGGCTGTTGTCTTGTTTTCTGTGTCAGTACTGAGCTGGGTAAAAAGGCCTTTGCTTACTCTGCTCCCTTTACATGGAATTTGCTGCAAAATAACATGAAACTTAGTAAATTGGTTCCTTTGAATACTTTTAAGCTGAAAATTAGATGTTTTGAGTTAGACTCCCTCACATGTCAATGTTTTAATTGAAATTTTATTGTAAGTGCATATTTGGCTTTTATGTGTGTGTCTTTGTACGTATGTAATGATGTGATGTCATTTTGATGCCTATCTTGGCCAGGTCTCCCTTGCAAAAGAGATTTTTAATCTCAATGGGTATTACCTGGTTAAATAAAGGATAAATAAAAAAAAATAATAATAATAAGTTTGATGATTTATCAGACTGAAAACACAAATACTGTCTTTATATATTTCTGTTTCTTCTGCACATCACAGAGGAAACATTAGTTGTTTAAATAACTTCATAATAAAATAAAAAAACGCATTTGTCAGCAATATTGGACATTATTAATTCTTCTGTTTTGCCAAGTAATCAGTTTGTCAGACCGTATTTACCGAAGTGAATCTAAAAAAAACCCAAAACTATGACTTTTGGTTTTAACTCACCTAATGTTTCATTACAGCTGAAGAATTAGTCCAGATACTGAGGGTCAATCAGTGACTCTATTTAATAATTATAATAAAATTAATACATTGCATGGGACTGCTCAGTGGAGCAATTGCAGCTAGAAGGTTTGCGGGTTCGATTCCCAGCCCGGGGTCTTTCTGCATGGAGTTAGCATGTTCTCCCTGAGCATGCGTGGGTTCTCTCCAGGTACTCCAGCTTCCTCCCACAGTCCAGAAACATGACTGTTAGGTTAATTTGCTTCTCTAAATCCTCCTTAGGTGGGAATGGTTGTTTGTCTCTCTGTTAGCCTGGGATGGACTGGAGACCTGTCCAAGATGGACCCCGCCCCTCACCTGTTGACAGCTGGAGATAGGCACCAGCGCTGCTTGCCACCCCAGCAGGGTTAAGCGCGACAGAAAATGGATGGATGGATGGATGGATGGATGATAAATTTTATTTCAAGCACCTTTCATGACACCAAAGGTTTCTCTACAACAAACAATTGAAAATACTCATTATATAAAATACACACAAAATTAAAACCATGGAGGTCTGGAGTCTGGAGAACTGATTTCTTTCAGCGTTTTTTATGTCGTTCCACTCTCACCAGTACAGAGGAATGAAATGAACTCTCTGCATTTAACCCCTCCCCTTGGGCAGCAGTGGGCTGCCATTGTGCGGCGCCCAGGGAGCAGTGGGGGGTTAAGGGTCTTATTTAGGGGAGTTAGGCTTGAACTCAGAACCAATCACTATGTCGTAACTACTAGGCTGCAACTCCCCCAAAGCAGGCATTGGCGTGAAGGGTCTTGCAGAAGGACCCAGACTGGCAGCTCATTCCCCCCTAGCTGGGATACGACTAGGACGGGTGACTTACAGTAGCAGCCATTTAAAATAGCCTTTCCCTGTGAAAAACCTTCAGAATGGCAGCAAAATCCCCTCCAACTTCCAGCCACTTCAGTGACCCCCTCTGCACTATTTTTTACTCCACCCTTTCACTGAATTACAGCATCTGACCAGGAGGTGGCGCTTCTCTTTAGATCTTAGTGTCCACAGATCAGGACTGATGTTGAAAAAGAAATTGTAGGGGACCAACCAAGGGCCAGCCAAGCACCAACCAAGGGCCAGGCAATGACCAACCAAGGGCCAGCCAAGCACCAACCAAGGGCCAGGCAAGGACCAACCAATGGCCAGCCAAGCACCAATCAAGGACCAGGCAAGGATCAACCAAGGGCCAGGCAAGGATCAACCAAGGGCCAGGCAAGGACCAACCAAGGGCCAGGCAAGGACCAACCAAGGGCCAGCCAAGCACCAATCAAGGGCCAGGCAAGGACCAACCAAGGGCCAGGCAAGGACCAACCAAGGGCCAGGCAAGGATCAACCAAAGGCCAGGCAAGGGCCAGGCAAGGACCAACCAAGGGCCAGGCAAGGACCAACCAAGGGCCAGGCAAGGACCAACCAAGGGCCAGGCAAGGACCAACCAAGGGCCAGCCAAGCACCAATCAAGGACCAGGCAAGGATCAACCAAGGGCCAGGCAAGGATCAACCAAGGGCCAGGCAAGGACCAACCAAGGGCCAGGCAAGGACCAACCAAGGGCCAGCCAAGCACCAATCAAGGGCCAGGCAAGGACCAACCAAGGGCCAGGCAAGGACCAACCAAGGGCCAGGCAAGGATCAACCAAAGGCCAGGCAAGGGCCAGGCAAGGACCAACCAAGGGCCAGGCAAGGACCAACCAAGGGCCAGGCAAGGACCAACCAAGGGCCAGGCAAGGACCAACCAAGGGCCAGGCAAGCACCAACCAAGGGCCAGGCAAGCACCAACCAAGGGCCAGCCAAGGAAAGTGGCAAAATTTTGAATGGCTACTACTGTTCCACTTGAGCTAGCCAACTGACAAGTTTTAGCCTTGATTGACACAGAAGTAAAGTGTCAATATTACGAATATGGAGGGAGTCAATTCCAGAGTCTGGGGGCAGAGAAGGAGAAAAGCAGGCAGGAGGTTAAACAAGGTGGGTGGAACAGGAAGAGGCGGCAATCCAGCTCTGAAAGAAATGGGGAGGGGTGGGATTACGGAGGGTTATGAAAGGAATTCATCTTTGAACTGGATTCTGAAGCTATAGGAAGTAAATGAAGGGGGTTTAGTGATGAACGAAGCCGCTGAGTCCTGGACCAACTGAAGCTGATGGAGAGACGTCTGAGGAAGACCAAAAAGAGGAGATCTGCATTAATAGATGCTGCAGATGATGAGGCTACGGACCAGAACAGCAGAGAGGAAAAAGAGGGACGAAGACCATGGATGTTTCATAGATGAAAATATGATGTTACTCATCAG